TTGAATGTTCTGCAGTAGCTAACTGGCTGTTTTCTTCAGTGATGACTCTCCACTTCACAAGGTATTAGTTGAGATTGATCTTACTGAAGTGAATTTGAGTAGCAGTTTTTTAATGTCCCTTTTTTGTCCTATTTGATAATTGGTGATAATACTTAGACAAAATGATGAGAAAGGACATTTGGAGATTTCAGGTTAAATGTGCCTTGTGACACTGATATACATAAGAATGTGGATATATTGACAGAAAATTAAGATAATACTTAGGATTTATGTATTGATCACAATTTCTAATAGACCTTTCTACTAGGTATAATTACTCTCAAAATTCAACTGTAGGGAATTATTATCTATTTCGTGTAGCTTTTTTGTGTGGGAGATACTCCATTCCACCATCCGCAAGATGAACAAACATGTTGCCAAGTTGCAAAAAGAAGTGGAAGAAGCCAAAGACAAACTTGAGGCAGCTGAGAGAAGGGTATGTCTTAAAATTTACCTTCTTGAAAATTGTTCTATTGAATAGGAATAGCTAAACTAATGTTCTGTAAATGTCATATGCCGTTGTGATAACTAGCATGTGTGGCATGGATTATTTTGTTCTTGTTACATATGAACATTATATTTTTGGGGTTATAGTCAATAGATAACTAGATGTATTTCTTTCTGTAGGTTTAATTATTGTATTTTGAAATAAAAAATGAAATCATATTAGTGCAAGAAATGTTGAGACATATTTTCCTAATTATTTATTATTAATATTTCTCTCTTTATTTCAGGCAAGAGATGGAATGGATATAGACTCCAAAGACGATGATGTCCCTACAGAAGAGATGATTGAAAGAATGGAGGAAAAACTGGAATCTGCCCAAAGTGAACAGAAGAATCTCTTTCTAATCATTTTCCAGGTAAATCCTTCATCAAATTTTTCTGTGGTGGTTAATGTATTTTTTATTCGCCTTTGATAAATTGCTCCTTAAACTTTATAATAAATGTAAATACTTTAGAAAAAGGTCCTGCCAATTTTTGGTTTCTTGTATTTGGAAAATCTAATTTTGCAAGTGATAGCTCAAATTATTTTGCAGAGGTTCATCATGATTTTGACAGAACATTTGGCACGGTGTGAAGCTGAAGGTCGGGATTACAACACACCTTGGTATAAATGGGTAATAGAAAGGCTTCAACAAATTTTCCTCTTGGTAAGAGCTCATTTGCTGCTGATGGTTGTTTTGAGTATTCACATGATTGTCATAATCATAGTTAACTTATTTAACAGGATTTAAATGTCTTCTTTAATTTATGTTATTCAGAATCTACTATGTTAATATAAGCCTAAAGGAACCAATGTTTCAGACAATAAATGTTAATCTGGCACTGGATATCATTCTAAAAAAGATTTTTAGAGCCAAAAACTGGAGTGTAACATGTGTAATGTGTAATTTTTACAGCACCATGAGCAAGTGTACAAGTACATCAACACTCTGGAAAATCTGCTGTTTACAAGTGACATTGATCTTCACATTCTGGAGGTGTTTCAACATTTCTGTGCCTTAAGGTCATGAAGGGTTTGACATTTAAATGAATAGGGTTGAAGCATTGCCATTTTGAAATGGACTCATAGGGGATAGGGTCCAAGTACAGTGTGAGACCCAAACACACGTGCAGGAGTCCTTCAGTCTTCATCAGGAGTTGCCCGCAAACTTGGTCTGAGAAATCCAGAAAAAGGAAAGGGCAAAAGGTCTTTCAGACCAAAATGTTGACTTTTACCATGAGAGCAGAACTCAAGAGAAAGGAAGAATAACATTTAAGAACAGCAGGAGTAAAAATATTTCCTCAGAAAGTTGTAAAAAACATTAGTAAACATGTAAAAATGTAGTAAAAGTGAGATTTCTTTTTAAATAGTTTTGTAGTGAAATTTTTGCTGTAGTAAACACTGTTACACATCTAGCATTGCAATTAGTTTGCCTCACCAAATCCGTAGATGACCATTTGATAATGTTCCCCTTCTGACTGTACAACTGGCATGCTGTCCAAAACAATTTTAAAAAAGTTTAAGACAAACTGATCAAACTTTATATGCAATCAGTCCAAACTGGTCTTTTTAAGGTGTATATATGTGTATTTACAGCAAAGCCAAGGAAAGTTTTTATGTTCAAATATCACTAATATGGTAAATGAAATTTACAGCACAAAGGCAGCATTCCACATTGCAAATAAATGCAAATTGGGGCTTCTGCACTGAAGGTTTGTAAATCAAGACTTCTTGTTTGGAGGTATTGGAACTATCATGGCACTTAAAAAGACAACAATAAATAACAACATATGACTTTTATTTTGAGTTAAGATTTTTGTTTAATAAATATATTACAAACATGAATTAATTGGTCACCAAATTTACTTTGCCAATATTTCTTACTTATTTGCATGCAACTCAACATGATCTGTGCTTAGTCAATGAAATGCCATTCACTTCTCAGCTTGCAACTTGATATATATACATTCAAGTAAATGGGTTACAATTATCCTCGTCTATCAAATGTACATATTTTGTATTGTAAAAGACCTTCAAAATGAAGCTAGTACGTTTGTGAAACTGTCACAATCCAACAATTTTAAGTCTTTTACATTCCATAAGTCTGGTTTTAGAAATCTATACACCTTCCTTTTCTTTCCCAGTCACCATATCTAGTAGGTTCTGGACCTTTGGGTCCCCCTTTCTCTCCTGTATAAGGGTTCGTATCATTTGGCCATGGATCATAAGCTTTTTCCTCGCTGTAAGGAGCTGGGTTGTGTTCTTCTCTTTCCAGTACTACTCTGTCATCTAATCTTCCAGTTGGTGTATTTGCTTTCTTCAGATCACTTTTCTTTGGTTTATTCTCTTGTCCAGAACTTCCTTGTTCATTTGATGGTCTACATGTTGAGGTTGATATGGATCTGGCTGTGTAATGTGTTCTCAATCCTAAGAATGATAAACAGATTTAATTTTTATATTGGACTATAGATCTTTATTAAATATTTTTCAAATTTGCGTCACCACCTAAAATCATGTAAACTGTTTGCTTCATTTTTCGAACATACTAGGTACACTCTAGTGGTACCAGTATAGTAGGTACTTACCGTAATAGTCGGTTTTACGGGTCCCTATTTAATTGTTAATAACTCGACCAATTTGGCCCGATTTTCATAACTTTGGTATCGTTAGACTCTACAAACCTTTCTATTGACATGGAATATAATTAGTATGTCTTTAATACGTTTTTAATGACGTTTTTAATGAGTTATTACAGGTACTCTACCAAAGGCCACTTCCCGATAGATAGACAGATTGCGCTGGCATCTCTTCTATCGGGATTAACAATTGAATAGGGACCCGTAAAACCGACTATTACTTGTGGCATGTATGTCACGTATGCATTATTGTAACAACACGGTTACACAGTCAACACAGCAATACAGACATGGTTTCAAAACCCCACTATTTTTTTTTTCTCAGCAAGTCTGCTGGGTGTTTTTCTATCAAATAAGCATAATGGAAATGCACATCCCTTTTTATTACTACACATAAAATTATAAGCAGAGACTACTGTGAAGGCATTTAGGAGACATGTTTCTGGTCAGTTAAACGTAATTATCATAACAAAAGTAAGAGAAACGCTACACATACCTGGCACAAACTGTCGAAAATTTATAACCTTCAACAAAAATCGTCTACTAACTGTGGCCATGTTGGTTACATAAATTAACTGCTGCCTTACTTTTATAGAAAAAAAACAGTCTTCATGAATTTTATAGTTTTTCTTTACTGTTTAAATTTTAAAATAACACAATTTTATTTTAGCAAGCAAATGAATTTTTTTCTTTACTTAAAGTGCAGAACGTAACATCGAAGCTAACTTTTACATACGGGCTCTTTGGTTGGCGGTCTATTTCAATATGGCGACCGCCTGTTGGAAGTTTGTCTTTGAAATAATGGCACGTTAAATTGATATACCAAAAATACACAAAGCAGGTAAGCAAAGATGATGGTAATTTATGAGGATACTCGCACATAAATTAAATGTTACATACTTGGATTTCATGCGCTGTTTCTATTTCAAATACTCTGTTTCACTCTTGACGTGTATTCAACACAAACCTCACAAACATAAAACGAACACACGTTTACAGGTGCACTGGTGCGTGCATTCACGCACACTGATTAGACTATGGTTTAACAAAATAATGTGTTCAAATGTCTCAGAAAATTGACTGGAGGGCCCAGGGGTGTCACAAAATACCGAAATGACACAAAATGGCTTTAAACATCAAAATAATCCTTCACCCCAAATTACATTAATCTTGAACTAAAGTAATCTTAATCTGTAAATGGAAATATTTTGCAGCTCCTCAGTTATGACAGAAGTGCACAATTTAGATGGCTGCCCACTTCTTGATTGGCAGAGAAACATTGTGTTGAGTTTAAGACATGTAATTTGTGGTGGAAAAAAATGTTAAGAATATCATTTAGGTGTCATTTTGAGTAATTTGGGTATTTAGTGACATCCAATTTTGAGGACTGATAAAATGTGGCAGTGTCTTTATTCTTCCGTACTACAGGTCCAGAATGTTGACTTGCATAGTGTTTCTTAGGTAATATTTTCATGATCTAACATTTCTCGAAGTGGTGTGAGATCAGGTATGTTGATACTTGCATATTTCTGTTGCCTTTACATTCAGTATATGAAAACATTGAATTTTTGGTCTTTTCGAGCAATTTTCCAGAGGCAGGTGTGTGAGATCTATACACATTTTTAGTGAATATAAGCTTCATTAAGGCAGCACATGAGTATTATCTCCAAATAGCACTAAGTAAATGTGCACTAAACAGCCACTCATTTTATTTTATTATTTTTTTTCAGGTGAATTTGTTTAAAAAAGCACTATTAAGTATGGAACATAGCTGGGAGTTGGAGGCCAAGAGGCCACTAGGGGTGTCACTTGACCCTACTGACATGAGACAGGTTTTTTTTACTAACCTTTTGCTCTTGGGATTCGATACAGGGGCAATGGAATCACAGTACAAAATTCCTTTTAACAGGTATGTGTTCAAGGCATGTTGATATTTACTTATTGTTTTAAAGTTAGTAGTCCAAAATAGACTTTCATGTATCATATAATTATGAAAAATTAAATGATAGAAAGTGGTAAAAACTGAGAAAAGTAAAAGTGTGAAGTTGGAATGGAATTAATTGCTGTATAAGGACTTGAAATGTGTACAGTGCTATATACTACATTCCAGGGATATGTTTGCACTTCCAAACAAGAAAGCCTTTGAGGTGGTTATGTACTTTCTTTTCAATAAGTTGGATCCTGTGTTGTGCAGAGAAACTTTTCGGTAAGGTTTGTACATGATACTGTTAGGTGTTGACTAATACAAGCTGTGCGTGTTTTGACATTATAGTAAAATAAGAATATCACACTCATGGATGATCTTTGAAAAGAAAAAATAAACCTTGTCAATAAGAACAATGCATCATGTTTTTTTTCCTTGTATGAAATTCAACTTATATTTATTTTTCTGTAGTGACTGTTGGCCAGTGATAGACAAGAAAGTGGAACAACTATTTAGAAAAGCATGCAATAATTGGCTAACAATGATTGCCAAGGTAATTGCCCACATCTCATTTAGGTTTATTATGATGTTTTGTATTTGTGCCATAAGTTTTCAGATAAAAGGTTTCTGTAGTAAGAACCTCTCATTATTTATCACCTCAATTGCCCTACTTTTGCTATCAAATTTCAAAATAAAGAATCCGAAAAGTTTGTAGCAATGTCAGTAATAATCTGTTGATTTCTGTGCTGTATGTAGTATTATATTGCTGGTGCTTTTATAGAAATATTTGTTTCCATTTAGGAAGAAAAGGATGCCCATTTACCCAGGATAGTGGCGTCTACATTCATGTCACCTGGAGGTGACCGTTTTTATCAGCTGATGTTTAACTTTTCGAGATATGTTATACTGAGGACAATTAAGAATGATCATGGTAAGTTGTAAAGTGTTTTACATGAAAATACTTTGACATAAGGTTGCAGAAATATGGATTTGCAAGAGTATGAGTAAATAGATTCTTGAGCATAATTAGATCATAGGCACAATTATAAGTGTTACTTTATCTCTGTATCTTGGAAGTATTTGGACATTAATATGATACTGTTAAGGCAAATGCTGGGGTTTGGGGGTGCACTAACCAAGAGACAAAGCTATGACAGCTGTATGTAGTCTCATTCTCATGATCAAGATGGACTGTCAGCCATCAAAGTATTGACTTATGAATATTTCCACATGCATTAAAAAGCCATTGGAAAAAATAAACTGAGACTATGATGGATCTGAATAGTCATGACATGGTCATTTGTAAACAAATTTTTCTGAATTAGTCAAAGCAATACTTTGAAATTTTGTTTTTGAAAAAAATAATCCTGCAGCATCTATCCAATATGCTTACTAAGTGTTAAGAATGAAATCTTGTGTGAACATGTTTTTGTTATATTTAATGATAATGAATTTGTTTTAATTCTTAACACATCTTTGATAAAGGTTTGAAAACAAGGGACATGCTGCAGCACCCTGTACTTACTCCCCAGAACTTAGCCATAGACCATGTGATAAGTGAGAGCCTTAAGTGTGGGGCAGTCAGGCACAGGAAGAGGTTTCTAGAGCATGTTGAGGATACAGTACAAGTACAGCAGCAATGGAAAGAATATGCAAGGTGTGGGTTTTTTTTAAGTAATTACGTAGTGGAAGGTGTTTAAGAACCTGTTGTATTAATGAGTCTTGCATTGAGAGGATATTGATGTGGTGTCATTGTTTTGTTGACATTTTCAATTTTGTGATTGTGAATTTTGAAAAAAAAAAAAGTAAAGTAGAAGTTGAAATTTAAGTGCATTGCATAATGATATTCTGGATATAAACTAAGACCAAGTAGAACTGAACCAGTTATATGCACTGTTTTATGTTTTAGTGAACTTGTGAAAGATAATCGAACCCTAAGCAAGGCTGTCAGAGACAAAGAAAGGCTAGTCAGAGATGAAATACAGAAGGGGACTACTCTAGGAGGAAGGTAATATCATGATCTTTTTTTTTTTTTTTTTTTTTTTTTTTTTTTTTTTTTTTTTTTTGCTACTTTAAGATTCCGTTCAGTCAAACAATAGATGCAAATGTACAGATACCTAAAGAAGTTTTCAGCTCCTAGTTATACTTCTTTTCCAGCCCTGTTCCAAAACGAAGGTCAGGTATACACGATCCAGCATTGGATGTTCAGTCAGTAAAAAGAGCACAGAAAGTTCAGAAGGTAAACTTGAGCCCAGTTAACTATATTTGTAAAAAGTTGTGTTGCTTGTCATCATTAAGTTTTGTGTCACAATGGGTGAGTGTTTCTTAGACCCCATTCCCATAGATATTTAGATTGATCTATCCCCCTGGGGAGTCTCACTAGATTGTTGTCAGCTTTACTGGCTTAAATGTCTGTCCCACCTACTAAAAGCTGTAAGGGGGTAATGAACTGTCGTGCGCGCTCGGCTGACAGCAATTTAGAGTGAACCCCCAGGGAGTTGGGTCGATCCAGATGGATCGATCTAAATCTCTGGGAATGCAGTCTTAAATTTATGTAAATGGTACAGTGTAATATAGGCATGATATTGGATGACCCTGTTTGATGATTGAATTGCACACTATCTTAAGAAAAGTTCTGCAATTGCTTTCTGCATAGGTGAGGGAATTATGGAAAATCCTGGACGACTTCAATGGCTCAAAAGAACAAGAATGTGAGGTTATAGAATCTATTCTTCATGGAACACTAGACCAGTATAAAATTGATGCAGGGGAAATTAATGTCAAAATTCCTGACTTACTATTGCGAGAGTGTGAGAGTGAATTGCAAAGGGTAAGGAATTCTTAAAATGGTTTTAGTGTACAGTAATATAAAGTTCATGTTAAATTTAATTGAATAAGAGGAGCATAACTACTTACATCTTTGAAAATCTGTTGTGTAAGATTTCTCTTTCAAGAGTGTACTCTAAAATTAATTTGCACAATATTTATCTAACTTATTTTTAATTTTCTTTTTTTAGAGAAATGTTGATAACACTTTAAAAGGAGGGAAGCTGAATCTGTTAAGGTATGTGCACAATTGAGATATTATTTTGCTATTATTATGTAACCACTGTGTTAAATGCCCTACATTGTCTAGTTTTAGTGCTTTATTTTCCTTTCTGCTCTGTTCAAAGAAAATATCTCGAATGTCAGGAAAGGACATCTTGAAGAGCAGAAGCTACACAAAGACTCTCTGAAATGGCCTTGTTCACACTGATGTTCTTGCTATTTTTCAAATGTTCAGATTTTGTACACTGAAGTCGGATAACTACATTCTATTGATATCTATATTACTTCATTACAGTCTGGTGCATCTTTGGAATCTTTCCCTGCATCTTTACATTGAAAAACTGCACACAGGTAAGTTGAGCTTAGAGGGATGCAGTGAAGGCTTTATTTTGCTGGGTAATGTTTTGCTGAGGCATGTTTTTGATAATAATTCAAATTAAAAGTAATTGAATAATTATAATTTGGATATGACATACATGGTTTTAACAGGGAGGTACATCCATTATGTTGGTGTTTACTACAGGATTAACAATTTAATTTTTCAGCTGGAGTTCCTAATTTTGGGGACCATTTAGCCACAGTAGCAACTCAAGTTCATACACACCATGCGTATCTGTCTAATACCCAGGCTCTGAGGTAATTGTTAATTGCCTATTTTTCAACTTCTGATGTAGTCATATGATGGAAAATGTAGGGTGCATTTGTCTTTTTGCCTATTTTCAACTTACTATATTTATCTGTACAAAATGCATGTAAATCTTCTATTTTATATTATTCTATCATACACATGATATAAATTGATCTTTTTTGTGTTGTTTCAAGGTCAAAGATGGCAAAGGAGATGATTCCAAATCTCAAGGCATCTATAGACCAACTAAAGTATTCCTTAGATCAGCAACCTGTAACTGGAAGGACGCCTCATGGGATCAGAACTGCAGTAAGCAACTTTAAAAGTCTTCAAATGAAAAAAGAAAATTGTAAAATAGGGTCTATGTGTGTTTTGATTAGAACATGAGGTATTAAAAACAATTTGTAAAGAAAGAATGGAATAAAGAAATTGAGTGACAATAAGTTTTTGGCCTTTTCAGTCGCTTGGTTTAGGACTTCTTCCACCCACACCACCCATCTCATTTCAAGAAGATTCCACTTTGACGGAGGGAACCCCACCAAATATCTCAACTACTCTGACACCTAATAAAGGTAACATTATAGAACAATTTCTGCAGTCTAGTCATCTCTGCAAGCAAAGTTTACAATGTACAGAATTTATTTTTCATGTGTTTTTGATTCTGTTATGGTCAGTGAAGTGAAACTTTTTCACCAAAACTCATATTTTAGTGTCCACCCCGGAGGCAGTGTCACGCCTTGTGAATTCTGTGGAGAAAACTGTGAGAAGAGAGCAGGCCTCTCTTGGTGCAGGTACTCCCCTCTATGGTCCAAAACTTGGGATTAAGGGACAGCCATATGGAGCAGATAAGTACGTTTCTGGTGTGGTAATCCTAGTTCTAAGATATTGATAGTTACCAATCTGATAGGTTGGCTTTGTGTTTGTGTATAAATTCCCTCAGTGAATGTTGTTTTAACTGAAAAAATGAATTTTTGCCATCTTGACATTTATTTACCCGACTTTTAAAAACAGTATTGGATATTAGGTTTGCACCAAGCTTGACATGTTTTCTGTTTGCAGGCAAATATAAGCATCCTCCAGATGCCAGAGAATTTACCTGTGCACATGATTTTACTTAATTGATAGTAATTGTAACTTAAGTTTTAGCTTTGCCCTTACATCATATGGATATCTTTATCTGCAGTGTACCAATGAGCCATCTACCAATTCCTGTGGTTCAGGTAGAGCGTGTGGGGAACAAGCAGAGGACCAGGATCAGATCGGCGCCTGGGACTCCTGGTGCCTCACGTGGTACTCTAGCAGGTACCTGCTTTCCTAAGCTCATTACTATCACACTCATACTGTACATGCTTGCTGAGTTCAGACACCTTTGTCATGTTTTCCTGTTGTATCCTTGGGTCATTCTTGCATATTTTTGTTTTAGCTAATTAAATCAGTTACTAAATTGTTTGTAAAATGCTTAAAAATCGGTACTTTTCTGTCTGTACCATTTGATGAAATTTTGTTATGCTAGCATGTTTCTGGACAAGGACATATCTTAAATTAAGTGTAAGTACCACACGGTCACCAGGATTTAGTGATAGTCTGCTATCACTATGGATTGTGTACCCCTGCTCAAGATGAGGGCAAAATAACCGACTTACTATTAATAAGACAGGAATGAGTATATTTGAATAGTACAATGTTTTCTTAACACAGATAATGAATTTACAGTTTGCATGTACATTCACCTTTCCTGTTTAGGCACAAGTCCACTTGTCATGGACAGCAGAAATGGAGTAAATACCATGTTTGAAACATTAGAAATGGAAACAACACAAGAAGGTAGAAGTACTAGAGAGTCAGCAAGGGAGAAATTGACAGAGCAGGTGTCAAAGTCAAAGCCAGGGTTTAAGTCAAAACAAAGAGATAAGGTAGGATTTTTTACACTTTTGGATGGAAGAATACATAAGAATATGGAAATCAATCTTGCTTCATTTTAGCACAATTCATTGCTGGAGTTGGTGGGGGAAGATTGGATTTAATTATTATGCATACTTTTGACAGATTTTGGGGGAAGTGAGTGGAGAGATGGGTTTAGTTGACCTTGCACTTTACATTTTAGACCATTGTGAACACAAGAAGACCCCAGTCTCAGACACCAAGGGTTGAGAGGCATTCAACAAGAACATCACCAAGAGCACACGATATATTAGCTGATAAGGTACAAAAGCAAAGTTTACCTCAGATAATAGGAGATGAAGTACTTTAGTGCAAATTCTTATTAATTTGGGTCAGATACTAACTTCTTTGACTTAACTTTCACAATTAGGGTACAATCGCTCTGAATTAAAACTACAACGTGTGTATACTGAATTTAAAAAAACACATGTGCGCATGCTAACGGCAACCTAATATCTATTTTCTTGATAGATAATGCATGTCTGCAATACAGTATTTTAGGCAAGGATAATTGATTTTACATTGCCTTAAGTGTATGTGAACTGCAAAAGTAGTCAAATATCTTTATATCCAGTCATGCTTTTCATTTGAGGTTTTATTTATCTACAGATAGCAGATGCAGTAATGGATTCCAGCAGAAAATATACCAGTGGTCTTAGTTCAGGGGAGTCCACACCTGACTCAATGAACATAGCAGATCTTAACTTGCAAGATCCTTTGGAAGGACTAGGTAAGAGAAGGTGACATTATATTCGTATTTTTCTCAAATATGTACGTAATATTGGTTCAGTCTTATGTTTATAGACACTGTAGAGGATAGTGTCAACATTTGACAGATTTTATGTATTGAATGAAATATTGATATTTGATAATGAGGTGGTTGTATTTCTCATACAAATTTGCAAAGATAATAATAAATAAATTCAAATACTGCAAAATTTGTAACCAAAGCCACGGTAAATTTGTACAACACCAAATATGTTTTAATTTATTTAGCATAAACAGAATATCTTAAGCATTTAATAAAAGAAGAAAAAAACAGCTTGAGCCTGTAAATAACCCACTGTTTTCTTCTTCATAGGCACGAAGGCATTTATATCCCAGGACAAGATAGCCAGGACGCCTGAAGGAGGACATGCCAAGAAGATGACCTGGCATGACACACTGATGGAGGAACAGCTCCCCAGAAGACCAAGTTCGACTGAGCTAGATGAGGTTACAAAGAATCTGTTCACACCTGAAAACTCAGGTAAGTTGATTCTTTGGATTAGATGTCAAGCTTCTATCTTGTTGGTTAAACATCTGACTGATTGGTGTCAATAACATCTGTGAATCTTGATGATGAGTTAATACACAATTGTCCGTGAGTAACCTTTGCTTCTGTTTAATCCTTTTTGAAAAGGCTAGAAATAAGATGAAATATTCATTTTAATTAATATTCAAATCAAATTTGCTTTTAAGACGAAGAAAACATCATTACTGTTGGTGAAGTGCCAGATGAAAAGAAAGATGCACTGTCCCCTGTAGCTAAAGTCGATCTTAATCAACCTAAGGGTGCAACTCCATCTTCCAAAAGAAAACTCAAGCATTCCCCAACCTTGCTGGATATGGAAACAGTAGTTGGAGGACAAACTTTGAACAGGTCTGCAAGAGAGGCTGAAGAAAGACTTGAGGCTGCCTCAGAGGTTACAAATTTATTGAATGACTTAACTTTCAATGGAGGTACAGTGCAAGAAGACAGGACTTGGAGAAAGCAGTCTAGCAGTTCTGATCAGTCAAGTTCCATTGTGTCTTCTGTTGTACAGAGACAAGATAAGTCATTCAGGGACTCCCCTATTTCAACAGAAGACCAGTACAGAGATCTCTTTGAATCTAAAACTCCTCATTTACCAAACAGGGCAAAAAGACAAAATGTAGCACCACAGGATTATTCTGCAACCCCTGAATTTCCAAAATCATCTGATCATTCTAGAAAGTCAAATCCTTCTGTGACACCAATTTCAACAAATGATATGCCATTTGGTCAATTCACTGATGATGGGGTTCAGAGATCCAGTGCTTTCAGTGGATACCCAAAAGACCTGTTGAGTCTAGATGATGAGGACGACCTGTTGACTACTGTGACCATGCCTTTCAGTCCCTCTATGGAGGATTCTCCTCATGTAGGATCACAAGATGTACGCGTGGTTGTATCTCCACATGTTTTTGGCAGAAAAGAAAAGCATACAGAATTAGGGAGTGAGAAAAGAAACTATGACGAATTTCTGGAACAAAAATCCAGTAGAAGTAATGCGAGATCCCCAGCCGCGTCATCAACTGGTTCTTCAGCAGGTTTTAATTTGGGACATGGGATTGAAGCTGGTGAACAGTTGAACAACATGAAACATGTACAGAAAGACTCCAGTGTGGATGATTTGATTTCAAGGTACAGAAAACTGAAACTGAATAATTTTACACCACTCGAATCATTGCAAAACAACAAGTCGCCCTCCTTGTCAAAACATGTCAACGGGAGCAACCTATCATCAAAAAGCCAACAGGCAACTACAGCAGATGTTATTGATCCAAGGTATTTTGAAAAGAGTCCAGTCAGAAAGACCTCAATAGATGAAAGATTCTCCCTAGATATAGATGAACCAGAAAATATACTAGATTTTAAGAGTCCAGGGGGCAGCAGACTGCCAGATTCACCTGATTATTCGAACTTGCTAGGACAGAATGGAAGGAGTTCAGGAGCAAGTGAAAAACCAGCATCTACAAATGACAGAGAGGAAGGGGCACAAAGTGCTAGAAGTCCACATGGGTTTACTATGCCTGTGTCACCACATGACATAGCTTTGCTGCCACAAGATGCCAGAGGTGGCTACCTTCACACTCCACGCCACAGGGAAAGCTTACCTTTAGATGGGTCTTTGATAGATGTAGATGCCATGTTAAGCCCAGGCATAGGAGAGACTCCTGGGCTTCCTTTTGGGAGGAAAGGTGAGTTTATTATGATGAAAGGTAATCATTCTAAGTGATTTGTTAAATTTAATTCTGAAACTTTTTGTCTAAATTCACTTAGCTTGGTTTTGAGGATTACAAGGGTGGACTAGAAGAAAATTTGTGTATCCCTCCTGTATTGATCTAAACTGTGCTGGTTTTGAGGAATGCAGCTCTGTTTAACATGTTTAACATGTTTTTCCCCCTAAGATATATGTCATTAGAAAAATTGTTCAGAAACAAGTCTTCATTCCAGTTTTATTCTTTTGTGTTTTTAGGGAGAGACTCAGCTGCAACTTACAAAGCGAAAAGAACAGATAGATTTGAGGATATACTTGGTAAGATTCAGAAGTTTTGAAAAATTTGGAGTGATAGCAATATGAATTATCAATTCAGCAAACCTTGAAAGCTTTATTTATAATGGACAAAGGTAGTATTTTAAAACCACAAATAAGATTTATCTGATGGTGTGGAGTTTACCACAGTATTATTTAATGAATACATTCCAAAGAATGTGCCGTAACAACAAATGTGCAGACATTGCTGTGTAGGGCAGCATTTTCTGTAGGCTTTGTGCAACTGATCAAAAATTGTGAATTAAACATACTGTGTGAATGTCTTGTAATTACACAACTCAGAGGAGTGTGAGTCCATTGATGTGAACAGTGAAAATGAATGGCGTGAAGAGCAAGTGGAGGAAGCTATAGGTTTTGTATATGAAACATGCAGCAATTTCCAATTTGTACAGTTGATAGAAAATTTGTCGCAATGTACAATTAAATAATCTAGTACAGTTGTACTACTACTACTTTGTCCTTTCTTGCAGGTGATGATACATCCTTGCTCCTTCCCTCCTCTCCAGAAGTTAGTTTTACTACACATTCACCAGCTGTGGGAAACCTTTTGGACTTCTAAGTGCAACTGCAAAGATTGCAAAGAGTTTGAAGATTTTCCTGTTTTGGAACCTTACGTTTTGATAATCCAATTAGGGGATAAAGATGTGTTTATGCCTCTATCAAAGTCATAACCATATGAACTGCATCATCAATAAAGCTTACTGCTTTTTACAGCCATAATTTTTTTGATATGCTGGACAAGGCATCTTTTCAAATGAATCTAATTGATTAGTGTTATATTTTTTTGAAAAAAAATATTTTTTTTCATTCCATCAAGGATTTTGATTTTGATTGCCATCTTTGGAACCATGCAACCTTAACAACATACAGTTACCATGTCTTAATACAAGAACCTGTAAATAATTTTTGTAGCTTTCTTGTGGTTGAACCATTCTTCTCTCTCCCCACCCCACCTATTTTTAAAAATTAATCAAAACACTGATGGCTTATGTAATGATGGCACTCACAAATACTATTAGTTATTTAATATGTGCTTGGATTTTTAGCTTTCTGTATATTAAAGATCTGGGTTGCTATTTATCAATATTTTTTTACATATTTTATGTATATTTATTAATGGGTATAAATAACCCCCATTTCTTCTAGATTTTTTCAGGACGCAATATTGAAAAAATGTGTTATTAGTGACATGTAGGTGACAACAAACAATTGAGTTGTAAAATATACTATATATCTAGCTTTTGTATATATGCATTGATATGATTGCAAATCGATGATTTATTGTGTAAATAAACTATAAGTACATAATCTGAGCCAGGCAAAGTTGTCATTGTTTTCATATTTTTAAACATATTTGATGTATTAACTGTGCTTTAATTTGAAAATAATTTAAATATTTCACATTCTCAAAATGTAGGACAATTTGGGAAAAAAAAGAAAGAAAGAAAAGCGATTAATTGAGTCGGATATATTGGCGAATTCAACTTTTTCGTAATCACTGGTGACAGAAATTGATAAATTGAGTTTTTTTTTTTTTAATCGTAGAATATTTTTGAATTTGTGCCTTACTGGTATGGGGAAATTTTCGTATTAAGTAAAGGCTTCAGCTGTTTAAGTAACGAAAATATTAAAAATTATCGATTTTGGATAATGTTTGCACGTTATTAATACTAACAAAAATTAGACTGCGCTTAAGGGGTACTACGATATGCACGTTTATTTTACTGACACATTTGTCCTCAACCTCAAATATTTTTTCACAGTGCTTGATAGCGGATGTTTTGCAAACTACTTTCAAACAAAATGCAGTTTTGCCGTGTTTTGCGTAAAAAGCACCCGTGTCCTGTCACCATATCGCCTTGCTATTCGCAGATGTCACTGAAATATCTTATAAATGGCTAAAATATTGCAAAAAAAAAAAATAATCAAATATTTAAAACCCGGCGTAAGCTATTTATTAAGTAATTTAAAACAAACATTCTAGACATTTTCAGAGACGTTAAACATCATGCTCGCTTCCTGACAAGTTGCAGATTTTCTGCTTTAGTAAAATTTAACTAGATCTATTTCAAAGTGCGAGATGGTGGTGCGAGCGACAGTAAAGAAGGTTCAGAATTTAGTCAGTTTATGTTGTGTGTGAGAGAGAGAGAGAGAGAGAGAGAGAGAGAGCAGATAAATTTAGTTATTATTATTTTTATTTTTAAGTACCTGTCTCTGTAATGTTCTGAATAGGGTGGCACATGACCCTCTCTCTGTATTTTTTAAAAGTTGCTAGACTGATGTTAGTAAAGTTCCCCTTGGACAAACAATTCTCCCGCTCGCTTAATTACTTTTAATAATATGAAAAATGTTAAATGGGCCTATGTACGGCCTATATTGATATTGAGTGTTTACCTTCAAATGAAGTTTTCTTATAAAACTTTACTTTAAAATAGTGCGTCATAAGTGGTAGAGTTTCTCACCAATTTCGAAATTTGTTTTTAATTTAAAGCGCTTCACACGTGAGTAGGCCTACCAATGAAAGCAAACTGGTTTTAAAACCTTAATTAGACAAAAACGAACTAACTCAGGCCCGTAGCCAGAAATTTAAAACGGGGGGTTCATTTTCTGAAAAAGTGGACCTTTTCCCATAAAAACTTCATGTACATGGATCAAATTTTACCCAGACTGGACCTTTTCCCAGCAAAAGGGGCGGTTCTTTCGGACCCCCCGAACCCCCCTGGCTACGGGCCTGTAACTTGCGATAAGTTCGGACGAACACCATGAACTTTGTAGTGTGTAGAAAAAAAAAGGACAAGATATACAAATCTTGAAATGTTTAAACAGTTAACACGCTGACGACATTTAAAAAGAAAAAGACTTTCAAGTTTTTTAAAATTTGAGTAGAAAGGTTATGAGGGAAAAAAAAACTTTAGGCGATCTCTTAGGCCAGCCAAATGGCCGGAGCCACGGAATAGTTACGTTCGCTTATTTATTTACAGTTTATCAGAATTTGATATCATACAGAAGGTAAAAGTGTACTTTCTAAAACATGGTAAAAGCCTGAGAAAAGGACTTAGGCCTACACCATTATTTCCAATGAATCCATATTATTTGTTCATTGTTGATAAGAGGAGGCAAAGAACGGAAACGCACGAGTTTCCGCGAACTTTCAACCAATCACATTAGAGCGCGTGCCTAGCAACAAAAGCAGTCAGATTTGCGCATTTTTCAATGAGCGAGGTGAGTAATTGACATTTTTATGTCAGTATCTATTTTATTCAATGTAAGGCGGTGGTTATTATTATTATTTATTTATTGTAATAAACAAACCACAGTCATTGCTTTTTCTTTCTAGACACTTTTTAAAGCATTTAGCCAAGCATACTTTGAGACATGAACTTTAAAAAATTCTTATGTGCGAAAAATTATTTCAAAAAATTTAACTTGGGTGACACTGCTTTCATGGACGTTTGAAATTTAAGAAAGAAAACTGAATACAAACAGTAGAGATTTTGGAGATTATCCTCACTGCTTTTGAACTACTTATGCCCCATATTCTAGTTATGGGAATCAACTTTGATCATTTTACATGCGGCGTTAGGACCTTCGAACTGAAATGAGTACACATCAAATACGGAATGAAAGGACTAACAAAATTAGATATTTCATAGAGAATGTTGATTATTTTATTAGTTTTTATTTTATGTTTTGGGCGTTTCTTTGAGTTCTTTTTACTTGTTGAACCCTAGTACAAAATATGTGTTACATTGAGATGGAATTATTAGTTTCTCGTATTGGATTATATTTGTTAACCTGTTGATGTTTTATGATTTCTTTCTAATTATTTTTCAATGTTTTATTATTTTTTTTTATTTCACTTTATTTTTTGTTTTCTCAACATTTTCAGTTTAAAATGTTAAAATTGAAGTCATTTGGTGTTATGGAAATGATAGAAAGATGGAGAGATAAAAAAGGTGAGAAATTGGGGGATTTGTTTGCTTGTTACATATTTCAAAATCAAAAATACTCATATCTAATTTACTTTTGTGACTTCAACTGATGATGTATGAATCTAACATCAATATTTATTTTTTTCATTTCTAGTTCCAAGGGGCATTTACCATCCACAGAACAATACACCCAGTGTTGCTGTATTAGTTCCAAAGCAGGAACAAAAATATAATGTATTTGTACAGGCAGATTCCACACTCAGATGCTGTGCATTTTTTGGAAAAGAGAACTGCGTACCTCAAGGTAAAAGCCTCTCTTCATGTTCCTGAAATTCAATGCATTTACTGATAACATACAAATGCCAGCAAATATGTGTAGTACAAAACACCCAGTGTTGAGATACTCAAGTTTTTTTTTTCAAATGCATGCAAGTGTGCCTTTCAATTCATTTATTATAACTTGAAGTTAGTAAGCATAAATATTGATGGCTTTAATTCTTTTCAGCAGTGGAGGGCATTGACCACCTGAGAGTATTTCCATCCAGTGGCAGTACTGTTGCCCCACAGAAGGTACAGAGAGAGGCTGTATTTGTGCAGACAGATTCTACCTTTGGCTGTCGCACATTTTGGGAAAAGGAAAGCAGTATTGATCAAGGTAAAGTATCAGGACTTTAATCTAACATGTAAATATGAAACCCAAAACTGTTCACAACATTTTTTTTTCTTAAATGACAGTTAGCTACTCAAATGTTCTGAAGTAAAGTGCAAAGGTTATTCTACTTTTTTTATTTTTACCCAAGCAAAGCTATTTAACAAATCGTATTCTAATAGAAAAGATCCCTCCCTTATACAAATACAATTCTACTACGGCACCATGATATTATGCCTTGACAACAATTTTTATTTTTCTGCAGGATTTGTAGAAATCCCTCTTGGTGATGAAAAATTAGCTCCAACTACAGAGGGAAAAGGTATTTTATTTCATTATTCAACAACTTGCAGAATTCAATGTAAAATTTTTTCCACTCTTCTTTATCATTCCCCTTCTAAATTTGGTATCTGTATAAGTATCAAGATGTGAAGAGTATACGTCAGTGAAATTTTTCAAAGAGATAATTTGAGCCTCATTTCACACGTTTTTCCTTTATATATATAGTGTCCAAGCCCAGGAGGGTACCAATCATAGGGAGGCTGAAGACATTTAAATTTTGGCTACTTACCAAACTAAGGCAGTTAATCAGATACTGACTGTTCTTCATTTTTTTCACAAAAACTGAATGAAAACAAGAACTAAAGCACTGTGCATGCATGAAACGCCACCCATGTAAATGCACCCATTAACTGCAATGGATATTATGAACAATCTTGAGAGCTTTTACTTGTTCACGTTGTATATAGTAAACAAGAAATTTTGTTTCATGTTTGTACATATGTAAATAGAATACCACAGTAAATACATTTTGTTTATTATTATTATATTATTTGTTTTGCAATATCAGTTGCTTAATTTCTATATATATTGATGTCAATTTACCCTTAAGCTATGTATATATCATATATATATATATTTATAATAAATGGAATCATGTATAGACAAATTGCAGTATTTTATAATAATAATTTATTGAGTACAAAGAAATGGTTTACATTTACAGGCTCTCTAACTAATACAAATATAAAATAATAATTTAAGTAATAAACTATTCTCATCCATGCAGGGATGCATGATTTTTAATTGCACTGTTTACAA